CTCTCTCTCTCTCTCTCTCTCTCTCTCTCTCTCTCTCTCCCTCTTTCTCTCCGCAAGGCGTGCTCGCGTGCACGCTTAAATGATTTAGCGTGCTACCTCGATCAACCAAATTTAATTTGATTTACCGCGGCCGGTCGAGCCACTCCATTCTCGTGATCAAGAGTGCGCGATTAAATTTGCGAAAAGAGAACACTCGTGAGTATCATTAAAGCGAGGTGGAGAGCTGCATCCGTGCGCAAAGCAGCCGGTCGAAATTTATACGAAATTTAACCCACGTATCCATACCAAAATGCCATGAGCAAATTTTACAATGAGATATTAATAATCGAAAAAGCAAACACATAGTGTGAAATAAACTGCTCGATGAAATGGAAGCACGAATCGCGCGCGTTGACGCGCGTGTTTGCATAATGAGCAACAGGTTCCGGTTTATATTTACAGTTTTGAGTTTATTCAATTAACGGAAATAAAATGCCTTGGTGTGCGAAATTGCAAGAGGCGGCCGAGAAGTGTACGTAAATTAGCAAATTAATCAAATTATGACGCCATTGTGCAAATTCGCGGCAGGTAAATACGGTCTCGTGCAGAACGCGGAGTACAGAGAGAAAATGTTATAGCAAAAATTACAACGAGGCTTTTGTAATCTTGGACCGTACAGAATTATGACCGAAATTACTAAAAATATCGTACACGCGTTTGACCTTTTACTATAAAATTACCATCAATACTTGAATGCTTTTCACATTATGTAGGTCGTTAATTTTACACACCATTTCCACACTGAGAAAAACATGATTAGCATGAAGTTAATGAGACTCTGCTTGAATGAATTACATTAATTTGTTAACAATACAAACAAATTATGTAGTTGCTGTGATGAGTTATAAATTGATTCAATGATAGCGACTCAGTACCTACATCAACGCAATTTATTATTGCACTAAAGCGTAATTTATTCAATAGATACAATATCTCTTTGAAAGTGCATGACCGTCGATTTTGTCGATTCAATTGCTTTTTTCTCAGTATACAGACTGTTTACGAAATACTTGGACAAACTTTTCTAGTCCTCTCGTTAAAATACAAAAACTCGAGTAGGTTAAATAGCATGAAAAGAGGTTGATGTAGATTTCAGAGTATCAAAATAGATGTTGAATGGATCAGTAAGACTGAAAGTAGGATCAAAATTTTGACTCGAGTCGTACTACAATTTCCGTACAGTTTAGCTTTACCAGAAACATTGCAAAAAGAAGCGTAATTCTAACGCAATTTTTGCTACAGCATTTTCTACGCGCGAGGATGCATATCGCTAAGTATATGCACCGACCGCCTAGCCAACTGCTATCTAGCAAGTTCGAGGACCGGTGTCACGCGATCGATCGGTTTACGTCTGACCGTCGCGACGCTCGTCCACGACGCTGAACCGTCCCGTTTTAGTTCTATTTAACCCGCTGTTCATTACGCGCAATTGTGCGCGACGCGTATCGCATTACGTTGCAAGACGCTTGGGAACGATTCCTTTCATTCCCGAATGGTCGAATCAGTATCGTCCTAATGTAACCAATGTGACTCCTTAAATCATCTCATGCGTGATATACGGCTCGGCACGTTAACTTGAGATAATCAGACACTAATAGAGGAGACCCGCTTCGCGAAAAATCGCGCAATTCTGAAACGCAAAACGCCATCGCTTTCCGAACAGAGAGTTGAAGGTTTATCGGAGACTATTGCGTATGCTATTTGATACTGCGAGACTGAAGATATCGATATTGGTGCAGCTGTCCTGCGTGAAAAGCGATAGGAATCCTAGGATTGTCGTTCTCAGTCTTATGCGAACAGAAAGCTACGTTTTTGCGGATCAACTCTCCTGAACGGAGGATGAAAGCGAGCGCGTGGCCGCGCTTGTTGCGTGTGCCTCGAAGCGCTGAATATTGAGCAGTAGTAGGCAATATACAATGTACGAACATGTTCACGTTAAAGTAAAAGTACTATGCCCAAACATATACTTAATCCTGGACATTGTTTTGGTCCCAAGATATAAATATTTAAACCTTCAATACATAAAATACATATACAAGTATTGAGGATATACGTATATTTTTTTCTATGTTTATATTTGTATTTAAAGGCCAAAATAATAAGAATGTCCAGGATTAGAGATACGTATCCGGGGGAATTGGCACTTTTACGGTATTCTACAAAAACAGAACATTATGAGTTCATTTTGACCTTTGCTGTCAATCGACTTACAACATTGCTCTTGTCTTTCTGTTTCTGCATACTTTGTTCGTAGTCGTTCTTTCATTACGTTCTGTGATTGTTATTCCCGCTAACGCGGGAAATTTCTTTGTGTTCTCAGCACGTGGAGTTAAAGAAATGGGTAATTGTTTCACGTACACACACACACACACATACACACAAACGTGTAATTTCCGACAAAGCCTGAACGGTAAATCAATTAGAGGTAGACGTAGCGTGCTAATAGAAATACGAAAACTTTCTCCACGCGCGTTCCCTTCGCTGGAGGTGCTCCGTTTCGCGCGAAAACGTATAATGCAACGTTATACCGGAAGTGCTATTACGAGCTGCATGAAACCGAAGCAAGTACGGCCAATTTCGCCAGCTACAATGTTCCAAGCAATTAACAAAAGACAAGATCTTCGCGTTCTCGCCCGCGCTGAGAAAAGGTTTGTTTGTTTTTTTCTCATAGACCAGATACAAACACGGAAAATCGTTAATTTCAGCTCGACTAGAATGGTACGTAAAAAAAGAACGTGCGTGCCAAAGATCTGCCTGAAATTTTGCGCAAATCCGACGCCGGGGCCGTTTGTGCGCGTCTCGTAATAACGTCGCCGGCATCACGTGGATTCGATCTCGCCAAATAAAATATTCGAGTCCGAACGTGTCGCTCGGCGATGGAGGCGCGAGAAGAGGAGCAAGAGGAAAAGACGCCGAGAGAAGCCGCCATCCGCGCGATTTCTCACGCAATACGTTTCGCGGCGAGCCTTCGGCCGCTCTTCGCTGAAAAGCACTTCTCCCCTCCGGCGAGCAAGTGCGCGGAGCGACGGACACATACACTCGCGTGCACGCACGCACACATGCACGTTGAAAATTGCGGAATGCGAAAATTTCAGTCCGACTTCATTTACAGGACGCCATGATCAATCGCGTCGAATGGTGGAATTCAAAATAAAGCGCGTCAATTGACGACGATCGATCCCGAGATTCTCACGCGACGTCGCGGCTCGTCAAGACCGAAATTCGCGCTCGCTCGCGCAGTTCCATCCCGCGAATTGCAGAATAACGGTATGCAAGAAGAAGTACAACGAACTCACCCCCTCGAAGACGCGTCTACGGACGCCGCTGTTGCTCCTGTCTGTTTCGCACAACCGCGCACGTCCGCTGCGAGATCATAAAAAACAGCCTTCGCCGGCTGTCACGAGCACCGTCGTTGTCCTGCCGCGAGAGGATGGCGAAGAGGTCAGCTACGTGCCTGTGTCCGGCTCGCTGTCCGTTGCGAACGGCGGGGATCTTTCGAAGGGTACAAGACGCGCGATACCCGGGACCTTCGTAAGGATACTAAAAGCGCGCGACTGATACGACGCTGTCGTTGGGACGCTGCGAGCGGGGAAGGGATGAGCTTTCATGGCAAACGTTAGGTCGCCCGAGTCGGTACCTCGCGGCGCCACCTGAGCGGCGTGACGGCCAACTACTTGACGCGCGGTCGGTACGCAACCTCCGTCTTTGCCGACGGCGTTGATGTGCGGTTCTCTTCTCTCAAGAGGGAACTTGAGCATACGCGCGAGCGACGTCTCGGCCAATCAGGAGTATCGAAGCGTGCGCACGGAATCTCCCGCCTGAGAGGAAAACTCACAAAAGTCTGTCACTTTTTGGTCTGTTCTTTTCAGCTGCACTACTGAACTGGTGTAATAAGTTAAAATGAGATAAGTATATGTGTTTTCTCGCGCTAACTTATTGCACCAGTTCAGCAGTGCAGCTAAAAAGAACAGATCATTTGTCAACGGCGAACGCGAGTCCCAACATGGCGAAGATTACGGCGGCGCGTACGTAGGAAGTCTCGCAGAACAAGCACGATTTCACGAGAGCGACGAGATCGAACGTGTGAGTTGATAATTTTAGCTTTGATATCTACCCGACGCGCTGTAAATCTCACGCCGCCGAGAGACGCGCAAATGTCTGCCGAACTTTCTCCGTCGCGAAGGAGCGATAAGGAAAGCAAAACAAAATTAAAACAGCGACGAGATTAAGCGTCTGACGTAAGAAAGTGGCGCGGTACACGTGCTCCAATTATCACGTGTTTTTCGTAACGTGCGAGTGTTTTTTTCTTTCCTTCTTTACTTCAGGCGTGGCACTTTGACTAACCAATGAGCAATGGAGATAAAGGTCGGTCTACGATTGTTATCGCGGCGAGAGATAATACAAACCCGCTTATTCATCAATCACCTGCGTAAATTTTCCAAATAACGCGGTAATATCGTCATTGAGCTCAGCGGTCATTGTCGGTCGTGCGACGTATTTAGTCGGCGAAATTGTTGCTTTTCCAGTAAACAGAGAATCATTAATAGAATGTTATTCCAATGATATTTAGTAATATGTAATGTTTTCTAACATGTAGTTTTTAACGTTGCATCATTATTACGAATAACTACGACACTTTAATATTTCTAAAACATTTTTGCAATATTCAAAGGTATTTTCCGGTAATATCTTTAAAATATTTTTAAAATATTAAACTAAAATGTTCAAGAGATACGCGTAAAATCAATATTTCATAATATGGATCTGTTTGTTTGTTTACCGAATTCCTTATCGCGCCTGTTCTCATTCAGAATAACAAAGAATAATTAGATTAACATCTGGAAATATTGATTTTGCGTTATATTTCTCGTTTACGTACTTAATATTTTTAAAACATCTTAAAAATATCACCGATATGATTTCTCTTCGAATATCGCGAAAATGTCTTACAGATATTTATAATGTCGGAGTAATGATATTGATACTATGTTAAATTAAAGAATACACATCAGGATACGTTATGTAACGCAAGAATTATTGACGTTCTGTCGATACTGTGTATTGAACACTGCTCGGCACATAGCTCGCTCACACATGCACCTATTAAATAATAATGTTATTGCGAATGCGCGCGTTCACATACTCTCCTAGTGTTCGCCTCAGTTCCTTTCTTTACACTGATTTCACCAGTTTCATCGTATTCACTGTTGATTCCCACATGTATTAATTAACCATGGTTTTATGCAACAATGATCCGATCCACAAAATTATGATTGAGTCTTTGTTTTCTAAGGGTATTCCATACATCTTTTTACATAAGACAAAAAGAACCCAAGTCTCATGGACGCTTGGAAATAAATTAAAACGCAATTTGAACGTAGCTGTGCCATGTTTCGCTGGTTGCATTCTTTTTATTCATTTTTTTTAGTTCGTCAATAAATACCCTTAAAAAGGAGATTGACTACGTATGGACATAAAATATCCGTTCGAATTAACATGTCATTATTTATTATTAAAAATTGTATTTTTATAAAACTTACAATTACGTGCATATTATCATCGTATCAACTTTATCAATTAACATATTGCATTCGATATAATAGTAAAATTTATACTAATTATATGTACAGTCGCAAATATATAATTCAACACAATACTCGCACATTAATTATTGCTAATTACGTCTCAATTATAAGCGCTACATATGAAATGCGAGACTGTGTCTTGAGGAAAAAAGGTGATACATTTTCCTACGAGAGAGGATCTCTAACAGAGATAATTTCTACATACGCAGAGAGAACGGATTCTTTGGGCTCAGTACTCTTATTTATTTAAAAATTATTTTAACAGAATTATTGAATTTTTTTGTTATTAAAATAAGGAAATTAAATACAACAATTTTCTTATTTCAATTACACAAATAATCTAAAAAAATAATCTAATTGAATTAAACAATAAAATTGTCTGTAAAGCCAAACAATCGCGTTTGTTAGATCAAAACTGATATCTTAAATTTGATCTTGATATTTTAGTATTGGATTGATATTTTAAACTTCCGCAAAGTGTTGAAATGCTTGGTCGGGCTTCTGAGTTGGTGCCACGTTCTTCATCGATTTGTTTTCAACGTTTAGTCAGTTCAGTAGTGTAGAAGAACGACCGCAGTCTAAGGAAGTTTCCTGAAGAAGTTCCCTGAAGTAAACTGGAATGAAGCGTCGAAAACAGATCCATGAAGAATACGGCGTCAGTCCGGAAGCCAGACCAAGTAAAAATTGTTTTGTTTAGTCTGCTCCAACAGGTGAAATGTTTAAATGGTCCTTGTTTAAATTTAACAAAATTTATCATATCTTAAAAAACTGTTCTCTTTGTGTACACAAGAAGCAAGTTCCTTTTTTACGTACTTCTTTTCGGTAGAAGCGGTCATAAAAACATAAATAAATATTAATTTAATTCACTTCTATATAATAAAGCGATTTTACACGACATATACACGTCGCAGTATACTTGTAAATTCGAGTGTTTTATAAGAGCCGGGCGCGATAGATCTTTGCAAGATATCGTCTTTAAAACTCAGTCTAAACGAAAGATCGAGCTGATTATAAAACACTTGCACTTATTGAAATCCCACGACGCATATAAATATAACGTTCGACGTGATGAGAATCGAGTAAATCCAGTGTGCTACATATTACTGAATCGTTAGGCTCCACGGATGTTCCGGTATAACGCCGTATTGTATGTCCAACAGATGCTTCCGGAGCATCTCGTTAATCGATTCGGGCTGCTCGAGCGTCGGTATGTGCAAGTCTTGATCCAGAAATTGAATGTACGATATAGGACTAACTACACACGCAGTACCTGCTCCGAACATCTCCAATAGCTACGGCGAGAGAATTGTCATTAAGATAGTAGCAGACGCAAATAGAAACAGATAGTGCGAATAATCTTTGGTCTTTGTCTCCTCTTACCCTGTTTTCCGAAAGCAGTTGTATCACTTCCTTCATAGTGATGTTCCTCTCCGAAACTTCAAACTGATTCCATTCTCTTGATATAGCCAAGAGCGAGTTTCTCACAACACCGGGTAAAATCATACCGTTCAAAGGCGGTGTGACTAACTCTTTTTCTGAAAGTCATCAAGAACATGGTGATAACATCGTATTACTCTTCATGCCATACTCTTCTGTGAACAAAGAACTCTTCTTCGTAACCCTTTATAAGTTTGTGGCGCCAACTAGCCATCTCACGTAAAGTTCAAAATGTTTATCATTTTACACTGAACATTCGATTTTTTCCAAGCAATAATAATAAGTATTATAAGGTTTCTTATATTTCACACATTTGTCATGTATCTAGGTACGTTATGTAAACTTGTAGTAGAGTCACTATCTTTAAGAAAAGTTTTATCCTATAAAGGGTTAAAGAAAATCTCTTACATTCTCAATAAGAATCGACGAAAGGGAGAAATGTTGCTTACTTCCGTCGTCGTTTATATAAACCATGAAGATATTCATGGTGCCGACTTCTGTGAGCTGATGATCTTCTCCGTACAGCCACAGCACCTGCTGCAAACCTTTATCAGCGGCTTCCTGTTGCACTTGAATCGTAGGCCCGTAATTACTGCCGAGTTTGGAGTTGCCGCAACCGCCGGGCCATGCCCTGATGTATTTGGGATCCGCGAGTAACGAGACTCCGGTTTGCGTTTTAAAGTAAGATCCGACAGGTGACATAATTACATACAACAAAGCCGAATCTGTTACACCAACTCCGAGCGTAGGCTGTTTATACAGAAAGAACAAGCATGTTTTATTTTATCGACTTAGTTAATAATAAAATTCAAAGTAACACATTGAATGATTACACTGCAATATGAAGTGGATTAAACTTACACGTGTGACTCGGTTTATTTTATAATTTGAGGAGGGGACGAAATACACAGGGTGTCTGACGATGACATATAAATCTCTCGTGTAGATCAGGTCAAACTGAACACTCCTCTACCATTTTGCGAACAATCACGTAAAATGTTGAGTTATTAATTAAGGAAGATGAAAAAATAATTTCGTGCAATACGAGAGAACTTTTGCAAACAGATTTTGGCCAAGCTGTCTGCAACATTGGTGATAGAGAAAGATGACGAAGGATAGTGGCGGGAACCAATTTAAAGCTAGACTGATTAAAATGAATCACATCTGTCAAGATGTTATGACTAAGAAAAGAGAGGAGAGGAATGAACGTTATTTTCCTTCTTCTTTAATTAATAACTCAAGATTTTACGTGGTTGTTCGCAAAATGGTAGAGGAATTTTTTTTATTTAGTTTAATCTAATCTATACACACGAGAGAATCATACGTTACCGTCGTACATTCTGTATAATTAACAAAAAATGTACGTTAAATAATATCTTGGATGTACAAAAGCTAGGAATATTTAACGTGGACACACATCTTTTTTCACCTATAAATGAAATTCCGTTATTAACGAAGAGGATTGTTGCGTCAGCCGTGACACATCGATATCGCGTAACTGCTTCGAGAAGGTCATTAATATGTAGCAGATAAAGAGAGAAATTCTCTGCATGTGGTATTTTTGACACGGAATCTCGACAGATATTTCGAGGCAACATTTATTTCGCCAGCGAGAGTTTAGGAAACGTCGCAGTTCGCGCGAGACACATTTTACACGTCAAGTCGTTACATTTATCAATAACGCCGCACTGTTTAGATGCAACAAAATAAATTACTGAAAAAAGAAAAAAAAGCTAATATGATTATAAAATAAATTACGTCTCATTTCAGGAAAATACTATATTGTTACGATAAAATGATTGTGACTGCGATTAAAGCTAATGTGGGAAAAAATGTTTCACTTCTCACAGCGAATTTGTATACACGTACGTATATACCAAGGGAGGAAACAAATATTCTTACAAATAAGATAAAGATCGAGAATAATGGCAGAGCGACAGGCGCAAAAGGATACGAATGATAAATCTCGCATGCATACGGTGGTCGTGACACACAGCTATACTTCAACGAGAGATTGTGATTCCACTTATCAAACTTTATCATTAGGTATTGAGAAATGTAACGATCGCTTTCTTACACAGCAGTCACGATGACGTCTGTGACATAAGTGACATGAAAACTGCCCGTATCTTATTATGTTCGCGTTGTATGTGCATCGCGCGATTATGGAAATATTCAAACATACGACTGCAGCGAAGAAACAAGAAAAAGCTCCGACGAGATACATACACATCGAATGAACGTTACACTTGACGTTTGATGTAATATAAAACGGTTACTTACTTCGATCCCTATGTAGGAGGGGCGAATGTAAAGACTAGAGGCGGTAGAATGCGGCACCCATTCTTGATCTATACTAATCAATCTACTAAGGCACTTAATTAATTCATCTCCTCTGAAAGCAGGCAGACCAGATCTCATTGCTGAATTATTCATCCTCTCCATATTTAGTTCTGGCCTAAACAATCTTATTTTGCCATCAACACCTCTATAAGCTTTCATACCTTCAAACAACTGAGGAAAGATTTGCACATGTACTCATTGACGACAGATTAAACTTAAAGAATGAGATGCAGAGAAGAAGTACGTAAAACATAATAAGAAATTTCACCTCCGTGATATTAATGCTCGCGCGCGTACACACGCACAAGCTTAATATCTCCTCTTGTATGCCTCTCATACAATTTTTCTAACACGTTTCATGCACATTTCAAACATAGGCGGTACAGCCTGCGAAACCTTGATTCGATTATCGCTCGGGCGATAATTTCGATACAAGCAAATATTTTTCGCTTTCTCCATATTCTATCGAGAATTTTCTTCATTGTAATTTAATCTGATGATAAAAGAGAGCTTATCATCTCCGTTTAGGCATGCAACTAAGCGGACGACTTTATCTCAACGGAACATTGTACCGAAAATGCGATATCAACGACATTATCGACACAATAATAATTTTGTCGATGTAACTGTACTTAATAAACGAAAGGAAAGCATTCACACGAATCAATTTTGGCAATTTCTTGAGAGCAGAAGCTAATTGTCCGAAGAAACTTAAAGATATATATGTATGTACCTCAACTGCGTAATGAAGCACTTTTGCTGCCGGATGAAGTACTATATTTTCGAAAGGCATAATTTCTGGCGCCTGCCAGCCACCCAAGGCTTCATAATAATGTACTTTGAACATATGATCGGTGAAATGTCTACCGAACGCAAGTTGGCTAGTCGCAGGTTTAGAGCGCAATTCATGCGGGTTTGCGAGGCGCACAGACAAGTCTGTATACTGCAAAAAATAAATCGCAAATAATTATACCGGATACGACATCGAACGTGATGACTTTCGGCCGTTAATCAAGCAAAATACCTTAAAGGAGTCCCTTTTAGGTGAGACGTGTGGTACTGTGTTTTCATCTTTAACTTTTAAGGACGAGCTCCATCTTACATTCTGCTGCAGCTGATTAATTAGACTTGCGCAGGATAATATCTAGAAGAAGCAAGCATACGTAATATGTATATCTACATGTAACAGAACGGATCATATGTTTACAGCGTTACTCGAGACGCCGAGACTCGCCGCAACACAACGCAATCGAGAGCATACCATTATCTAGATGATAATTATTCTCTACGAAATCAAACTGCCTTAGACAGGCATCCCGAGCCGACATTTTGATCCTACCTCCGGCCTTACTATTCCATTCAACACTTATTTCGATACTTTGAAATCAATCTTCTTCGATTTTATTTAACCTACCCGAGCCGAAATCTTAATCCTACTTTCAGCCTCATTATTCTATTCAAAATTTATTTTGATGCTAAAGAAAGTGAAAAGAGTAGTTTAGGACATTATCAGAGTAAATCGTTAGAATTAAAGCTACTTTGCTAACTTAGCTCCTATTGCATCGTAGAATTTAAGGTTTAACATGGGGCCAAAATTTGGGGTGTGATTAAAACTGAAAAATTATTATTGAACACGTTTTGTCGTTCGATCGGGCAAATGGACGGCGACAAATGGAACTTTGGAACCTCGAACTCTAATTTCAAGGAGATTGACGTCACACGTCGCAAAGTTGTTCTAACGAATAAATAAGGTCGATTAAAACACTCGTTGAATTTATCTCGTCAGTGGTGAATTCTCGATTAATTAGTTATCGGCTTATTGCGTAACGACTTATTGCATCCATACGTGCGAACCAGTCGTTCGTGCGTTTTAGCGTGTTGTTAATCGCACGTGATGACAATCATTTCGCGTCTTATCAGCGGCGTATATAATACGTAGCTCATTCCTCGTGCGATGTTAATAAGATTAGGTCAATAGTATGTTAACGGCATAGCACTCGCGCCCCATTCTCGTGCTTTTGAGACCATGGAATTTACACACGTGTGAATGCAAGTCAATAAGACGTAATCGCGCGATCCGCTGACGTTTCTTAAATGCAAATGTCGATATGAACACACCTTCTATCTTGTTGTATTTTTCCTTTTTCTGTACGTATATACACGTGGTTTGATATAAAAAAAGAAAACAGCATCCGAACAATATGGCTGAAAATAAAATCGAATCACTTTTTGGATCGGAATACTAAATCGCCTTTCAAAGTAGGCCTTCAATTCTCATTTCGCCGGTTCTTCTACCACTGAAAGCATTTTTCATGATCATTTTTCGGAACAAAGTTGCTTTGTCACGTTGTCGAATTTATCTCGTGTCTTCAAATCTCGAACCCATGTTAGCATGTTTTTAATTGAGGAAGTAGTGACAAATGCGACAAATCCGCTGACACGGAAGACACGTAAAGAATTCGACAACATGACAATGCATCTGCTAGCAATATCAAAAAGTGTTTATGACAAATGTTTTCGGCAGTGGAGCAGTCGCCGAAACAAGTATGTAAGGAGTACTAAAGGATTCCTTGAAAGGAATTAGTTTTATCTCAAAATTACTTTTGTGTTTTTCAGTTTTTTAATAATTCTTTTTTTATTAATTTTTAATTTCAGTAACTTTCAAAAAGAACGTTTTTTTCCTACTGGCTACAGAATACATTGCAAAATTCATCGAAAAAAACTGTTGCTATCCTTAATCAGCCGGCTAAACGTCACAATTTGAACACGAGCTGACATCGAGTCGAACATCGTCCTAAAAATTGCGGTAATGTATGCACATACATACAGCATAGTCGTTATTTGAAGTTTGTCTCACGTGGGGCACTCAGGTCCGTATTAATAGTCATTACTTGAAACTCGCCTCAAGTGAGATACTCGAATTTTAATTCAGAATTAGATGAGAGATTTTCTATTGAATCGCAACTGCAGATGTAAACGTCACGTTTATCGTAATTCAAATTAAAAAACTTGAATCTGACTTTGAATAAAAATCTAAATATCTCATCTGAAACAAGTAACAACTATTAATACAGGCCTCAGATTTTTATTCAGAATTAGATCCGAATTTTTTAGTTGCATTATATGTTATCTGTGACATTATATTTGGGATCGCGATTCAATTGAATAACTCTGATTCTGAATTAAAATCTGAATATCTCACTTGAGAGAAACTATAATTAACGACTATTAATTGGGTTATAAAAACATGTTTTATTCATTTCTAAATGAAGGATGAAGGAAGGCGCAATTTAAAACTATCAAAGTTTATATCTCGTTTAAAATCGAACTAAGGTTAAAAGCTAGGTCTAGGTTAAGTCGAATAGATTCACGTGTCGTGTCGCGTGAATGTTGTAAATATGCGGAACGACCGTTCTAGCGTGTTTGTTATTACGCGAATTCATAACTCGCTTATATTTGACGGGTAAAAGCGTGTGGCTAGCGACTGGGATGTATTCGAAAATAAGTGGTTATTAAATAACAAGCCATACATCTGCTATGCGCGAAAACAATTCATACGAACTCATAAAAAAAAAACTTACATATTTCTTTAATCTTTAATTTACGAACCTCCATTTTCTACAGCGCCTGCATCTCACTATAACGCCTATGAAGACATTATTAAGACGATTAATTGGTGATTCAAGGTCTGTAACCGTAAACATTTAGATTACAGTATCGAAAGACGCGATATTGAACGTTTTCTCGCCTGTCTGACGCGTTTTCTTCGAACTCGAAATATGCATTAAGTGCACACGGTTACGTGCGCACGACTTTTGCAAACATTATGGTTCGTGTTACCTGTGCATACAAGACGTTTCCTGATATATGAGACGTTTTCTGACATATGAGCAACAACAATTGTCGATAAATTGAATAACATGATAATTACATATATATTCTTGGAGACTTTCGTTCGTATTTACACGCATTTTCGCCCGTGCTCTTGCACGCCTTCGCTGAAAACTGCTGAAGTGATATGTGACTTTTACACAACGATAATCACTTTTTTAAATTCCTGTATCAAATGAATAAATCATATGTAAGTCAACGATATTTATAATGCGGACGACTTATACAACATATTTTCTAATGCACATACATAATGCATTGAATATGCAACATATTCATGATATTGGACTTTGTTTTTTACTTATAGGCAAATTTCGATGTTTTACATATGTAATTGAATTTTAATATAATTTTACGACGAAGGTCGATGATTACGCTAAAAATAAAAAATTAATAACGTAGAGGCGGTTGTTACTAACACGATCATACTATTCTTTTTGTATATTATAGATCTTATCCCTTTAAGGAGGGATACCGTACTTGGAAAGTTTATCGAAATACTGACTTTTTTCTGCAAAGTTTACGTCGTATTAATTATATAAAATCACAAATGTTTTTGTTTTGAAGATACATAAAAAATTGAAGTATCGTTCAATATGTGATAAAAACGATAAGAGAAACTTGACATCTCGAGCTGTTTGTTTACTCGACACAAAAGTTCTGCAATTTACATATCGCACGTGAGCTTGCTGCGTTAATGAAAATTTCAGGGAACATTTTTGTATCTTCATAGTTCTCACACAACACAACGTCGAAAATCGGGACGTAAGACGTCTCTCAGACGACAAAATGTAAGACGTCTCCAAGAGATTTTAGATGTTGTGTTGTGTGGACTAAATGTATAAAAGTTCGAAAGTATACGTTTGCAGAAGGATTTCTACACATGCGTAATTATATGTCGTGTTTCTACGTGTTTTTTGCTGCACACATTCGTGTAAATCGTAAAAATAGTTGTAAAAAAATGTTATGTTAATATGAATACCTGAGTTTTCGTTATCTTGCATGTGTTGCGAAATTACGATATATGCGCGCATTAAGGAACAACAAAAGCGCTTATGGAAATTATGCAAAAAAACGCGACTTTTTATCCAATTATCGCCGGATTGCCGTAGTGCATGATTAGCATTCAATACGACGCGCTGCGCGATCGACGATCGATTATCTACGTGCTTTTTTACGACATTTTCCCTGGGTTTTACCCAACAAAAATTCGAGAGTCGCAGGGACGCGTTCGCGATAAGATAAAACGTGAGAGAAGATGCATGGGGCGCTACAGCAGTTCTACCAGAAAAATTCCGAAGGACTCCCTCAAGTTGAGAAGACGAACAGTTCAAAAGTGTACACGTGGCAATTGCAAAATGTTTAACGTAACGTCTACTTGTCTACAGACAAAACTCATGAAATTGAAAAAACTCATGAAAAAATCATGTATTACTTTGAAAACAATCACGAGTGGAATATTAATTAAAAAAGATCGACAGGCGGTAAGAGCATAATACCGACCAGTGAAGGTGTACAATCAATCCAGCTGTATGCAGTCCAACGTTACGAACAGCCGTTATCAAGGTTGTCAATAAATTAACGACGTCATTGGATGAAACTTGCCTCGAGAACTCGTTCTACCGCATCGCGCGCAATCATTCGTTAATTCTCTTCGACTAGTGCCTCACTCATCGTCGTGTTTGCTTCGTTCAATTTGGTGAATTCTAGCCACACATTGCTGACGTACTCGTTGCGTCATCTCGGGTAATCGCATCAAGTATTCATCTAATCTATCCGTCTACACAGTGCCAATCTAATTGATATCATTTCTTCCCCGAATGAGATCGGGAATTCCAGCAAATAACGGACATTAATGCCAGCCAGATTTCCCCTTCAGTGTCGCAATAACGACCTTTGTCCTCTTCCCGCTTTTTGGAGAAGATTTCGCCGTTTGTCTAACGCAGAGCTCGAAATTAATTGCCCATTTCGGCCGATTCTCAGGAGTTACGCTTTCTATCTTCTTGCCGTAAGCGGATCACAAAAGTAACGGTCGAGCCTCCAAACTTGAAGCCGCGACTGGCTGCGACCGTCATTTTCGAGGCCCGCTCGCGACAAGAGGAAGATAGAAGGCGTAGCTCCTGAGAATCGGCCGAAATGGACAACTAATTCCGAGCTCTGGTCTAAGGTGACCAGACGTCCGGATTTTTTCGGGACAATCCCGATTTTTCATCCTTTGCTCCGAATTTTTTCGAGTGCTATTCGGGACACCGATTTGCCATCATTTTCAATGATTGTCAAATAATTTTCGGATCTTTTAACCCCCCTCCCCTCGCTTCACACATTTATGAAGTGTGCCGAATTCAGGGCTGGGAAATCTGCTCACCTTACGTTTGTCGGTACTGCTCTTTGCGAGCACCTATGCAATGGCGTAAGCTCGACGTACATAAGACAATCGTTCGAAAGCGAGGAAGGCTGCTTACCTTGCGTCGTGGCTGAACCATGTTGGACCGATTAGACGGGAGCTGGACGTAGAAAGTTGCTGGATATGTAACGCACGCTCGTAGATGCTGGTCGTTTTCGCTGCCTTACGTATCCGCCGCAGCTCATTATATGGGAATGCACTGCTTGTGCGCGCGTCCTCTTCGACGCGCGTCTTTCACGAAGATTTCGGTGTAAGTTCTTGCAAGGGTGTAAATTCCAGAACGTCGAGAAATTAACCTGAACTTGGCTCGGTCCTCTCTCTATCGCTTCTTTACTTCCGACGATAAGTATTCCTTACTCAACGGCGAGCAAAGTGGACTGGATACGGACAGGACTGAACTACAATGATTGCGGCTAGTTCTAGAGCTTCTTTATACTAAGTAGCCACAACAGCGACGAATGGACCAATCGCGCGCGATACACACGAGTACGGTAACGGGCCGGCAAGTATCTGGAGCGGGTGGGAAAAACTTGATCGCGTTTGCTCAGGTGGAACGACCGTTCTCGTTGGTTCACTGCTTGTCGACTCGATCGTCCGATCACGAATACAGCTTGTTCGAATTAAGCGTCAGTTAATATTTTATTTATCAGTGCTCAGAGGGGAAGCGAGAGGGAGCGAAGGAAGGTGGGAGGCTAAAGCTAAGACTAGAGAGAATGATAGAGAGAAAGAGATAAAGAGAGAGTGTGAGGCGAAGAAGAGGGGGGTGGAGAAGGGTGAAGGGGGAAGAGAACGCGTTTCGTTCGAACCAGAAGTCCCCCTTCTTCCTCCTTCCTCTTTCATCGGCGCGCCGTTCGAACTTGTCGAACGCCTTTGACGGTGGCGATGACAATGGTGGGGATGGCCAATGATTTTACATGCACAAGAAGGAGAGAAAGAAGGAGAGAGACGTGCGGTGCCGTTCGCTGGGTGAGCGAGTGAGCGAATGAACGAGCGAGTCGCGGTAAAGGGGAGGAAAAATTGCGACATTACAAAAACATGTTGATAATCGCGCCTCCTTCTTCGCGTCGATAAGCGCCGAGGGACAGCACGCGGGTTGTTATTAATAAGAATGCACATCGTTCGATTCTCGAAAGTGCACCGATACGTCGGAAATATTTGCCGAAGGCGTGAACCGGCCGCACGCGCAACGTCGACGCAATGTCTTACGCACGCGACGGGAAGTTTACCGTAAGGAAAAGGACTACGACAGCAGCGTGTCTCCTTTATCGATGAATATGTGTAGCCGGTTTTGTGATCCTATTGCTTCATTCCGCGCGACGCGCGATAACGTACCGTCTTCTACCTCTGATCTTTAACTTCTGATCCTTTGATACGCTCGACTGTATAACGATAAGGTGCTCGTCTTTATGCTGACATCCTCGCGTTTCCCTTAGACAAGTTTTATCTGATTCACCGTGCCGACACAAAAAATCCTACTTTTATAAGAACGCAAAAATTGAAAAGAGCGAAAATGACGACGAGGCGTTTGTTATCGGTGAATGGTGCAAGCGCTGGCTCAGCGTGAGAAATATAATTAGTAACTGAGAAAGAAAGAGAGAGGGTTCAAATTTTATAAATATTGTCTCTAAATCAAGAGCAGAGAGAGAGAAAGAGAGAAACGTTAATATGTATTCCAACCTTTGTTTTTCTCTAGGTTCTCTAGGTTCTCTGTAGTTAGGGTTAAAGGCTAAAAAAACTTTATCTTCCCTCTACAATTACTTATGATGCGCAGCCCTATCTACTGTTTAGCAGATATAGGAGACACCGTTAAAATCAATTTTGACCAATGCAGTACAAACCTTGCTGTCTGGGGACGTTAAGATTCATGTTAAAATAATATATTTCTATTAAATCATTGTACCAAATTTTTTCTAGAAAGTTACATCTTTCAGCCTTCAGAAATAGCAATTGGTTTTATACAATACGGGGTGTTACCAAAAAAATCAAAATTTTTCAAGCAAATTTTATTCAGCCTTTTTGCAAAATTAACTTTTATTTTTATAGAACTTCAATTGTAATTAATGATACAGGCTAATTTCTGATATTTTAGCGTTCAAATAAAAAAATATATTAATTGAATGTGTGGCTGTGGATGCACTCTACATTCAGTGTGGTGAAATCGGGTCTGGAAAGAAATTTAATGTTCTAACATCTAACGTAGTGTGTGGTCAGGGTAACTTCCCCACATATACTGATGTAACGAAAAGTACGCGATAACATTATGTGACGCGTCAAACGTACTCGAAACAATGCGCAAATAAATGTACTGATATGGAAAACACAACAGTGTCGAGTGACACGTTACTTTTGTGACGAGCACGATTCTGTAGATCGGGGCTAGATCTCCCATATCTTCGAATTCCACATATAACTGTTGTAACTAATTGTTCAAACATAACAGAGGCAGCTTTCTTCTATGCGTTAAGGCCCGCCATGATCCTGTTAATCGTATATTTTGTTTTGTAATGACTAAAGTAAAAGAGTTTCATATATTTTGCTCAATTTTAGTTTAAAATGTAAACCAGAAAAATCTTTGGGGCAACATTGGAGATGATTAAATGGGGTCTGTCTGAGTTTATCCACTTAAATTGGCATATTTACAACATTACACTTTACCAGAACCTCCATAGATTTCCTACCTAAAATCTATGATTGTTGTAGGAGACATCGGGTTGAATTAAATTCCAAAGTAGTTTCTACGCGGGTGTATTATGTCTATGATTTTTTCCATATTTTATTTTCTCTTTGACGTTCTTTCTGGATAAAGAGGCGGGTGAGGTAAAAGTAAAGTGAAGTTGAAAAGGGAATGAAGAAAAGATAACGGTAAATAATATGTCGACAGCAATAATTATAAGTTTGTTCTGTGACTTTTGACGACAATGTCGTTATCGTGGCATTGTCGTTGCGTAAGTATAATAATTATGGTAGAATAGTTACATAATAACAATGTAACGATAACGATCACTGTCGCTGGCAGTTGGAGAGGGTGTGTTCAGGGAGCACGTTATCAGCACTATTTAGCGCTAATGCGTCATACTATCCTCGTGGTATATCTGAAGAGCGATAAAGATGAAATGACGCATTAGCGTTGACAGCGCGTTTCTTGAACACAGTAGGCCGATTCTGCAACATTTGACGACACAGTGTCGTTATCATTACCTTGTCGCTCACAATATAATATGAAGTATAATATAATATGAATAATATGAAGTATAATATAATATGAAGTAGATAAGCAATGATATCGTTACTCGGGGAATATTCACCGAAGGTCAAGACGCAGATAACGCAAACAGTGATAAATGAAAATATGATAAGTTCGACGAACGTCAATCTTGATCAATTTGAGGCGCTTATCTCCTTAACGAATTCTTGCTGTTGCACTTCTTCTCTAATGATTCTTCTCCGAAAAATTTGTCCCGTATCTAGCACTATATTAACGATATCGTGAACGAACATTATAAAGTTACAGAATCGACCTACTGAATAGACTTCACTTGAGGCATTTTTTACCTCGGGGAATACGAGGTAAAAAAAATTTCCCCGGACCAACTTTTTAAACATGACCGTTCTTAAAAGCATGTGTTTTCTTTTTTCATTTCTTTTTTCAATTTCGTTGAATGCAAAAATATTAATATGAAATTTTATCCATGTTTATAGTTTTAGGTTTACATTCTAGAGTTAAATTACTTGTCCTCAAGAGTGCGTTTAGCCTACGAATTTACGGCCGGCTTTAAGAGCTAGATACGGGACAAATTTTTCGGAGAAGAATCATTAGAGAAGAAGTGCAACAGCAAGAATTCGTTAAGGAGATAAGCGCCTCAAATTGATCAAGATTGACGTTCGTCGAACTTATCATATTTTCATTTATCACTGTTTGCGTTATCTGCGTCTTGACCTCCGGTGAATATTCCCCGAGGTAAAAAAATGCCTCAAGTAAAGTCTATTCAGTAGGTCGATTCTGTAACTTTATAATGTTTCTTCACGATATCGTTAATATGGTGTATCATTGTGCTGATTATCTACTTCATATTACATTATACTTCATATTATTCATATTATATTATACTTCATATTATATTGTACACGTGTAGCGACGAAGTAACGATAACGACACTGTGTCGTCAAATGTTACAGATATATTCCCTAATATGTTTTCTATACAGATTAAAGTTATTTGGATTAGTCGAATTATTTACTATTAGATAAGAGAATACGCAAGTGGATTAGATAAACTAATCTTCGATAATCTCTCTAAGGGTTAAGTTTCCATTAACCAGCCGAGCTGAATTCGATGGTAAATCCCGTCACAAATACGCGTTGATAATTTCCACGCAGGTAAATCTTGTAATCTTTCGATACACTTCCACTGCGTAGTGTTCTTTGATGACTGATTTTCAATAAAACAGTTCAGCTCACTAATGTAAACTCAGTTTAAAAACTCGCTATCACACATTTTATGGATTTATGCAGATATTATGTATTCACGGATTTCAATGTTAGATTATTGCCGACGAAAATATATGCATTACATGCCAAATACGAAAAGATACAGAGAAGAATTATCAGCTTTCAAATAAACTATTTTCCAAGTAAAGGGAAAATTTTGTAACTATTCCGTTGAAAAGAAATTTACCGCTTGAGAAACCTCGGAACACTAAAAGTGTATTGTTATTATTCGAATAGCTTTTGAAAAATCGCTCGCGAGCACTCTGTGTCTAATAAAAATTTGCAACACTTTTCCTGGTTAACTTCGTCATTAACATCTCGTAACTAATAATAGAATTGGTTTTTTGTTATTCTCTGAAAATTTTTCTATTAGATACGTAATAAATATGCGTTGCAAATCTCATTGAGGAAAAATGTTGCAATCTTAAATCAATCACTTGTACGACGCAGAACTCTTTTCTGATGGTCGAGAAATTCCGAAAGAGATCAACATGAAACATTCATTGGCGTCGGTAAATATTTTAAAACATATTTGTGAGAAAGAGCTAAACGTACTAGACATACTTATAATATTCGCGAAATACTTACTATTGAAGGTTTTGTAGATTTCTATTGAGTCATTTGCAACACACTACTGACACTAATTCAACGTCATATTGTTTTCCTTATTTATTCGCATTAGTATATACAACACTCAAGCTTTAGAATATCATATTGTTATCGTTGCGAACATTCAGAGGTCGTTGATAAATGCGGTCGATTTTATATGACTGCATCGTAGACGACGTTCCTTCACGGTATTCGACCTTCATGCCAAATAAGGACACGCAAAAGCCCGATCGTATAGGAGTTAACACGCTCTAATTTATGATTTCGCACAAGCGATCAAGTGGAGAGAGAGAGAAGGTCCTTTTAAAAGTCACCACTCCGCTCCCAGTCATCACTAAGAGAAACTCTCGATCGTGTCTTCTACGCAGTATTTCACAATGCGTCGGCTTGCGACTTAAAAACAGTTATCCTCTCCAATCACTCGCCGGCAATTTACGCACTCCGGTATCAACAATGATATCATCAATTTCAATAGGTTCTTGATTCGTTACAATCTTGCATAAACGTTGTTGTAGCGACAAATGAGAAGTGGCAGGGGGAGTAGAGAAGCAGGAAACGGGCGAAAACAAATGCATACGCCAATGACCTACTCTACGTCATTGCGAATGTTAATGCCAATCCGCGTGTCGCTAATGCTGGAGATCAATCGTATAGATTAACATAGGCCAAAAGGTAAGGAAAAAACAAAGTGGGGACTGCCACGTTACGTACTATTCCTGTTGACGAGCCCCGCGTGACGCATAACATCCTATTTCCGCAGCTGCGTCGACACAGCGTCGAAATCTTTCCAAATCGAAATACACAAAGTCGCAAAACATTTTTTCTACGTAGATCTTCCTCCAAGCGGTCGTCGCACCCATCAATCTATTGCGAGGAAGAATGGACGCGAAAATAAAGAATTCGGGGAAACGTATTCGTTACAGTACCTGTCAGTTTTCTCTCAGATTTTATCAAATATTAAGGTACATGGGGATTTATCAATTACTTATTAATTATTTAGCGATTATTATGGTAAATATGCAGCATAATGCTCTCATCTTGGATGTTTTTCGAACTTTGTAAATTTGTATATTTTAACACGTAGAATTGATTTCTGAAAGCGAAAATTGTCGCTTATTTTTCTTGTTTTTTTATTTCAATATTTTATGATGTCAATAAGTTTTATAACGAAAGTTATTACTTTTCTACTCTCTTACCGACAGCATATAACATTAAAATAAAAAAACAAGAAAATGAAAAATGAGCGACAATTTTCGTTTTCAGAAATCAATTCTACGCCCGAAAATATACAAATTTACAAAGTTTGGAAAAAATCTAGGATGAGAGCGTTATACTGCATATTTACCATTATTATTTATTATTCGTTTCCCTTTTAAATTTCGTTTCTCATGTTTGTTTTAAATTTGAGTTTGTTTTCCTTTAATATTTGATAATATCCGTGCAAGAGTATCATCTATTAGACATTTCCCTTACGCAGTTAGATCTCAGAATGTGCGAATTGGTGTCGGGACGACGAACTTGGAGTTGCTTTCTCTTCATTGCTCCCTCATTCCTTTTTCTTCCCATTATCACGACATTCCGTTGAGACCTATTCGTACAATTCCGATTTTACACGAACGCAACACGGCTGACGAAAGGAATCGTTATGTACTTCCGCGTGAATTAAACATCGCTCCGGAATAATGCATTTGAACGAACTACACATTAACATATTATATTTTGATTGGCACCGAGGTCGGCGGAAACGAAGGAAGCGAAAAGGTACCAAAGGAACAGAAGGAGAGCGAGAAAACGTATAACCGAATGAAGTTATCCAACAAACATGATGCAATGCGATATCGATAGTCGTAAAACGCAGATTCACTTGATTCTGTGGGAAACGCGGCTTATCTGATTTATTTCTTTCGCCACACACTCGAAATCACGATGAGACATACACCTAAACCGACTGAAGCGCAAATCGTTGATCGGCGTGTAAATATTTGATCAAAACTGGCGAAATGATCGTCGAACGCTAGAAACTCTTTCGTTCCTCGAAACTCCACGGCCATGTGCGACTGATACTCGTTTCTGCCAATGCCGATTAGACCTTAACGCGAGTTTATGTCTTTGTCTATGAATAAAGCTTAAACTAATAACGTTTTCTCTACTAGATAAACCAGTGCAACGATACTAAGGGTAATTTTATTGTTTTACTGTTAACATCTATTCACATATCTTCAGTGTCTAATATTCTGATGACAAAACTGGTACAACAGAATTATATTGAGTACAACTTTTGCTCTGTTATCTTCAGAGACACTGGAATATCATTTAAATTGTGGTTATGTTTGAAGGTATGATATATTATAAAATATGATATTAAGGTTTGAAGATTTGACATTGTTCTTATTGTAATTAATTTCATAATAACGATTTTGTTTGTGTTTTGACGTGTCTAATAACAGTCGCGTAATGACATTTTAATGTTTAAAAATCTTGAAAGTTTTGGAAATGATTCAATCAGGGTACTATTGTAAAATAAACAATTCAAGTTCATATATTTTTACTATTAGATAAAGTTATAAAATGGATGTATTAGAATTATTGTCTTCAATCAGTGTATGTGTATATATATATATATATATATATATATATATATATATATATATATATATATATATATATATAACGATGAAATTTTGCTATCGTATATTTCACATCAATCCCACACCAAAAATTTCAAAAGTTATATAAAAGACATGATTTTTATGAAATGATTGACAAGCGGGTAAGCTTAAGTAAAACTTCCCACACAGCACGTGATATATATAATATCACAGTAATATTTTAATAATATTTCTGCGATATTACAATATTACGGAAATATTACTGTGATATTATATAATATTATGTGCTGTGTGGGTTAGCATATTTTTAATCAAGAAATAAAATTATTTACCTTTTCAAGTTTAAGAAGAAATTTCGTCTAATGAATTTCACTAAACCATACTAAACACGCACTATTATTGCACTGGTTTAGTTTTCATCGAAATCTAGCTGTTGCTGCACCAGCTTTCTAGTACATCTAAGTAAAAAACGTTATGAGATTAAGATTTCATCGACGTCGGTAAAAGTGGATGAGAGCCGCACCTATTCAAACTCTCGAACTCACTGTAGTCGATTCCCTTCGAGAAACGTTCGAGCAATCGATTCCCTTCGAGAAACGTTTGAGAGATCACAAGAACTGAAGCCTGTTCTTTTTAGCCGAAAGCTTTCAGCACTGATACCGCACTGAAACTTCGTTCCCCTTTCGTTGAAGTTGTTCTTACACACTTGTTTCACTCTAAAGGCAAAAAGTGGAACCTAGCTCAGCTAAAAAGAACAGACCTCTGGTGACGCGTGTTGACGGGTGGTCGGCCGTACGATTGGCAGCACTGACAACGTCGGCCACCGGCGTGTAATCGGGCGTGAGACCCGACGGGATGGTCGCCGAGACAACCGATGTATTCGGGATGAACGTCGCGATTTGACTCGTCCGGCAGTTGTGTACTTTCATTCTTTCTTCTCTCGTTTAGTGCACTTTCCTAAGCAAACAGCTGTGGTGCAAGGTGGACGGCGGCCGAGCGCGGAAGAGCGCGAGAGCTGAGAGAGACGCGAGACGGCGAGGTCCAAGATGAGTCTCAGCATAACCAAGTTTTTCTCGAGGAAGCGGAGCGGCCCGCCCGACACCGTGGCGGAGATCGGCCTGCCCACCAATGTCTCGCACAAGTTCCACGTGAGCAAGAACGCGGTGACCGGGCAGCTGGAGGGTCTGCCGGATCCATGGATACGTCTGCTGAACGCGCAGCTCTCCAAGTCCGAGCAGGACGAGCATCCGGCCGCGGCGTTGCAGGCCATCAAGTTCTACAACTATTCCATCAAGCGTAAGCCGCAGGAGGAGGTGTTCAAGCCTTTCGTCACGCAGGATCTAATCGAGGAGGAGTCGCAGGAGATCGATAACATCCTGACGAAGAAGTATCCGTCCGGCGAGTCTGACGACAGCGCGGGCTTGGAATGCCCGACGACGACGACAATGACGATTACGACTACGCCCGACACGTTGAAGAGGTTACCCGAATTACAGCTAAAGGCGATTAAACCGCCGAAGCCGAGCAAGCCGCCGAAACCAGCGCCGCGGAAGCGCAACGACAGGGCGGAGAAGAGCCTGACCGAGATACTGGAGGACCTGAAGACCTATATGTCAGACGACGACTCGTTGCCGGTGGAGAATGACTACGAACGGGAGGAGGAGGAGGAATATTATGAAGAAGAGCAGCGGACGGAGGAGGGGGAGAGCACGCCGCGTTGCACGACGGAGGAGAGCCCGATTTTGCGGCGGAAGACCGACGAGCAAGCAAAGCTCAACGAACTCGCGAAGCTCAACGACGAGCAAGTGTACGAGGAGCTGAGGGCCATTTGTCACCATGGCGACCCCAACTTATACTTCGAGAGGACCAAGGAGGTGGGGGCCGGCGCTTCCGGCACTGTGTTCATAGCTACCGACCTTCAGCACAATCAGAAAGTAGCCATCAAGGACATCGATCTGTCGAAGCAGCCCAAGAAAGAACTGATATTAACTGAGATCAAGGTGCTCAAGGAATTTCACCATCCCAACCTAGTGAACTTCCTGGACGCCTATCTGGTGAACGAGCATCTCTGGGTCGTTATGGAGCTTCTGGAGGGTGGGCCGCTCACAGACGTGGTGACCGAGACTGTGATGAAGGAGGCGCAGATCGCGGCCGTTTGCCGAGAGGTGCTCAAGGCAATCAGCTTCTTGCACACCCGAGGTATCATCCACAGAGACATCAAGTCGGACAACGTGCTGTTGGGGATGAACGGCGCGGTCAAGGTGACGGATTTCGGTTTCTGCGCCAACATCAAGGACGACGAGAAGCGGCAGACTATGGTCGGCACGCCGTACTGGATGGCGCCGGAGGTGGTCACCAGGAAGCAGTACGGCAAGAAGGTGGACATCTGGTCGTTGGGCATCATGGCGATCGAGATGATCGAAGGCGAGCCGCCGTACATGAAGGAGACACCGTTGAGGGCGTTGTATTTAATCGCCGCCATAGGTAAGCCGGCCATACCGAGGTGGGATAGCCTCAGTTCGACGTTCCAAAATTTCCTGGAGAGGTGCTTGGCGGTGGAGGTGCACGAGAGAGCGACCGCCGACGAGCTGCTCTCCCATCCATTCCTGGAGAACTGCGCGGAACTGACCACGCTCACGCCTCTGATCCGCGCGGCGCAGAGGATTCTCCAAAAAGTGTTCCACTGAGTATTCTCCGAAGAATTCCGCATATTATCATGTTTCTTGCTCGCGGTTTTCTCTGCGCGCGTGTATGTGTGTGTGTGTACGCGCTACACGCGTTGCTTCGAAGGTCACGAAGAAGATATCTTGCACACGACAGATTTCGCGCGCATTGTCGCTTTCGATTTTAAGAGCTCGTCTAAAATACGCCGAGTAAGCTTGACGTAAGTTGGAGTAGAAAAAAAATAGTATATTATGTTTCCAAATGGTCATCCACCTAAGAACTGACCGTGCCAATCACTGTTTGACTAGTGATCGCACGAGAACCGATACGAGCTATAAATTGAATTGGAATAAAAAATATGATTCTTCCTTCGCTTATACGTTTATACACAAGCTGCCTTACACCAAAAGTTTAAAGGGACGTCTACATTGGAAGTAAGCAGTAAGAAGTAGGAAGTAAGAATAAAAAATTGACCAATCATAGTTGATTATTCTTCTCACATTCGACTGTGGTTGGTCAATTTCTTACTCTTACTTCCTACTTCTTGCTATTTACTTCCAATGTAGACGTCCCTTAAGAGAAATACTCCTGGTGTAAGGGAGTTGGAGTATAAGAAAACGCGAAATAAATTCTTTTTATCTCACTCCTTATAAGTTGCGCCAAGCTCATGCCGCGTATTATAGATGAGATTTCTCAGCTCACTTGACTGCCCGTCGATTTTCTATCCTACTGTGCTGGTTTAACGATATTCACGAAACCAAAGGATAGTGTGCACTTTGCACAGTGTATGCGTGTGTATGTGTGTATAGTCATCTTAAAATTATTTTACACGAGAGAGACGTTTCGTTCCCGTGGAGAGTCTAAGTAGTTGTCTCTGAGTCGTGCTACTTAATCGTATCGTGGTAATAGCTGAATATTTTATCAGACTGGTGCCACCTGTGGATACATTTAGATCAATCTCGACTTCAGAAACGAGTCATTTGTTTTATGTTACGTGCAATATGATTTGCCGTTACTGAGAGAGGACAGCCGGACATCTCTGCTCAATGTCATAATAAAAATACGCAGTCTGCCATTCAAGTTAGAAATTTGTCGAGGACAGACGTAGAGCGTTTTAGCTGTATATAGAATGCATTTTTTACATCTTTTGGAGAGAAGAGTATGTTATATGTATATGTGTGGAGTATTGTGTAATTTTTTAGAACTCTGACCATACAAAGATACAGTAACATGTACGAAATTGTAAATATTTCCTAATAAGTTGTTGTACTTAGATCATTGAATATATGTGTGAGTGAGAGAGAGAGAGAGAGAGAGAGAAGCGAAGATGTTGAAAATCAAAAGTATGTAAGTTCTGAAGTCTACGCATGATTAATTCGGGTTTAACTTTTCTCAAGAAAAACAGGAAAAGGAAGAACTGAGCAGATAAAATCAACATACATTTGATAACGCATTTCTACAGATAAGTTAATTGTTATATATAGTATGTAGGGAGCTACATTGTCTTACATAAAACTTCAACAAAATTTCGTTCTCTGTGCACGCATGGAATTGAGCTGTCGTTTAATAACACGAGACAATACATCGAAAATGAAAGTATTATGAATGGAGTATTACACCACCACGCCGCACTCATGATACTTGATCCTTTTAAATTTACTCACAAAGAGATATATAGAAGTGTCCTTCACCGATTGTCGTGCGTTCCCTTGCGGGATATGCACACATATAGGGCGACATTCATAGTCTGACCTTATCTTTAAAACCGTCTTAAGCTCTTGACTGCTGTGCTGTGCGTGTGTGCGCGCAGAGTTCGCTATGAACTTACAGTGTTTTCAAGGACTCTCATGCACGCTCACTGTCTCAACTTGTTAGCAGTTTCAATTGTAGGCTCTATTACTTTAAGTCTAGAACACTAATTTATTTCTCTTGCACTATCACCAGTCATATACGAATTGTGATTGTACTCAACGCTGATTACGTTAAACGTCCGAGAAGCTTGCGGAACATATCACTTTTTCGATACGCTGTTAAGTTCGACAATATCTAGCCGATGAAATGGCCTTCACAGTGTCTGGGGATGAGTTTAAGACGATCTCTTAGATATAAGATCGGACTATGTGTGAAAAGCACCCATAGTTTTGTAAGACTTTACCTAATTTTATACCATATATATATATATACCTTTTCGAAAGCTTTTACAACGTATTCCACAAAGAGCGCGATATTGCTCAACCAAATACCGTATTCGCTTAACTATTTTATTAACCGTCGTGTATAAATTGTCTAACGGCGTTCATTAAAGCAATGCTCGATCACGCGTAATAAGATTATATTATCGAGAGAAACGATTATCTATGTAGATATATTTAGTTAATTTTCCAAGCAGTAATATTCAAGTACATCTAAAGAGTCACGACTGTGATAAGAGAAAAAGTTAAGTTACTTTTACTACCACAATTTAAGTCCTATCTAGTATCGTTACAATTTTATTACAAATTATCGTATAATGGAACTGTATCAGATTATACTGACAACGGAGTCGAAATAGTTATTTCTATAATACAGGCAATAAAGAAGCGCTTCTTGATTTTCCATTCGTATAGCGCGTAAAATGTGTGCCTGGTGATCTGAGATGCACATCTAAAACGATCTCGTAATCGTTGGCACAATTTTCCGACAAGAAGGATACTCCGTCGTCTGTCAATTCACCTGAGATGTGCTCGAGGATTTAAAACGGAGCAGCAAAACTTGATGCGAAGTGCGAAAGTTACAAAGAAATCTTGTGCCTTATCAAAGGAATGCATATGGTTCAAACTAATACGTATAAAGGTAATTTTATCAGCGATAACCAAACATACAGAAAGTTTCACAATTATTATGAGAATCAAATATTTGCACAAAATGTCAATTCGCGTTTTCTCGAAAAAAATGCTGGCAGACGCGCTCTGCAATACAGATTTAAGTATCGTCAGTTGCGTGATTTGTAATGTATTGCTTTTTCCGTGTATCGGATAGGAGAAAGATTGACATTTACTGATATGCCAGTAAAACATCACGTATTTTATGCAATAAATGTTTTATTTACAAGATGGGATTCATGAGTTTTTCATTCACGATCGCACCACCCCATTAAATTAAATATTATTAGAAATACATCAGATTATGTACAATTGAATTATATATTATGTATTACATCTCAAATTAATAACTTATCGATCAGGAGACTACCGTGTGTGTGTTATCTGATTAATTTTAAACAAATTTTTAATGTACGTAACGAAGACTAGTCGTTTGAAACAGCCGTCGCGACGATACGATGAAGATTTTTGTAAATTTAGAGAAAGTACACGTTACCTTTGTAACTTACAAAGTTGCCACATATTTATAAAAGAAAACTAATGCATATTTATTAAAACGCTCTAATTATTTACAAAATTCTAAATATACAGTAATAAACATTCTTATTCTCCGTTTTCTCGAGCCTTTTAATCTTAACGATTTCGATTAATTGTACAGTTAAATCGTTGAATAAGAATCACAGATTTAACGTTGAGAATCACAGATTTAGTATACGTTTAGTATACGTGTATCTCTTTAGAAATGCGCCATCTCTGTATTTATATACTTTTTGGCAGTTTGAATTGTATTCTCCCAGTAATCGGTGTTAAAAATGTAATATCGTTCGCGGTAAGTATCTTTGGCGACAGTATAGATATATAAAAATTACTTTCTCACTAGTTAAACTTTGACAACAGCAACAACGTACAGCATTAGTTTCAATAAGTGTCGTATAAATCATGTTTTCTTTTTTTTTTTAGTTCTGACAACGTATGTGGTACGTAAAAGAATCACGTGAACTAAAATCGATCTCCCCATTTATTACAAAAACAGCTAATCATTTAGGTAGACTCAGCATAGCTTCGTGACGACATTGTTGTTAATACTGTATAATTATACAAGCCTGTCGACATCGAGCTTTTCTGCAAATTCTACCTTCCAGGACGGAAAACAACAATGTTACATAAAAAGAAAAAAGAAGGATGATATCTACCTCTCAAACAATCAAACTACCGATCAAACGAGAAATCAAGCTGTTTTTGCAATAAACGCAGGATACCCGCTGTTTCGTTAAAAACATATTAATAAATATCACGCTTGTACCTGAGTGCCGGTATTTTTCCGGCAGCTAGGAAACTGGGATCTTGTAGCATAGATCTTAGGACAGCCAAAAAGTCAGCAGCTTGATCCTCGTCGATCGCTCGCCTGTCGTACGATAACTTCACCGTCATTCTTGTCACTTTAGTCAACGAAGAGTCTGCGGAAACATAAGGATATCATTATCTTGTCATTATTATTGTTATTACGGCGATAGAACATTTTTTCTTAAAATATTACCTAATTCTTCACGTCCAGAGCCTACAGCAAGAATAGCAGTTTGGGGCGGATTTATAATAGCACAGAACTCTTTAATTCCGAACATTCCTAGATTTGAGATTCTACAACATGAAGATTCACACATTTGTTGACATATTTGCTTCTTTGTCATTTAATTTTACGTATTTTTCAGTTGAGACTTACGTGAATGTGCCTCCTTGGAATTCGTGAGGCTTCAGCTGATTTTTCCTCGCCTTCTCGGCTAATTCTCGGATGCTTTTAGAGATATCCGTTAAGCTCTTAGCAACAGTATCAAATATTATCGGAGTGATAAGGCCTGCCGGCGTTGCTACTGCTACAGACACATCGACTTTTGGAACTCGAACTACCTGAAAATAATCGGCCATTTGTATTGTAATTAAATAATGTGCTTTTGCACGATCAAATTAACATTAGATGAGTTAATCATTCTGACTTGTTCGTTTTGATACAACGTGTTTATGTCAGGACACTCAACAAGCGCATAAGCGACAGCTTTGGTGACAAAATCGTTAATCGAAACATTAATATCCTCAGTCTTCAGTTTTCCGCGAAGCTCCATCAATTTATCGATATTAATGTCTATAGCCGCATAAGAATGCGGTATGGTACTCTAGAAAAAAATAAAATTCATTAAATTAAATAAAAAATTAGATAAATCTTTTTTTCGTTATGCAAAGTGTCGTAAAATATTTTCGTACCTTGGATTCTCCAAGCCGTTTGGCGATAATACCACGAATGTTGGAGATCTCAAGGTCTTCGTACGGTGATGGCTTGCCGGCGGGGACGTGCGTCTCCAATGGACTAGCAGGCCGCGCCTTAGCAGTCTTTGGAGCTTCTTCTGGCCAAGAACAAATAAAAATATGAGTACGATATAACTACATCAAGGAAACAAGGGAAAATATTACAGATTTATTGTTATATTTACCAGTCTTCGGTGCGACTTTCTTAATATTGTGCGCTTGGATGTATGCAAGCACGTCATCCTTTAACAGACGATTTGTACGCCCAGTGCCTTTGATTGAACCAGAACTGAGACCGTATTCCTCCAATAATCTCTTTACTGCCAAGCCATACACTCTGAGGAACACATCACAATAATTAGAAGAATATTAATAAAATATACTCAATATGCTATTGTAGGGACAATAGTAGAGAGTATTGAAAGAAAGGATCAAAAGAAATAAATGAATAAAGGAAGTACTTACTGTCCACTTGGTGGTGGTTTTGCACTAGCTGATGCAACTGGTTCTTGTGCGGAACTTGGCACTGGTGCAGGTGCTGCTGCTGTTGCCGATGGCCTAGTCACTGTTGGCACAACAGCTTGCTTCCAATCCATTCCTTTCTCAACCGTGATAGCTATTAACTGCCCTACTTCTACTTGAGATCCTTCTGAAACCTGAAAAACAAGATTAGTACAAGCAAGATAATTTAGGAATATTGAGAAGCTTATGTAAATAACAGCTGGATATTTACAAGAATTTTTGCAAGCACGCCTTCTTCCTCTAATTCAAAAGCCATTACAGCTTTGTCCGTCTGTATTTCTGCCAATGCGTCACCCGGTTGTATCTCATCACCTTCTTGCTTCAGCCACTTTATAATTGTGCCTGTTGTCATTGTTGGTGAGAGAGCAGGCATAGGAATATTTTGCCTAAAAGTCATAATTATTTTATACTTGTGTTCTTTTAAATCAGCTATAACCTAATATATTTAATTAAAGATTCATACTGGCCAGGTAGTGGTTCTGCTGCTTGACTTGCGACCGGTGTACTTGTTGGTTGAACAGCAGATGCTGCTTTAGGAGCTGTTGCACCATCTGGCATCTCTACTGTCTTCCAATCCTCGTCAACTTCAACAGTGAGAGCTATCAGAGTTCCTACCTTAACATCTTTGGTTCCTTCAGGTATCTAATTAACATAACTTGTGTAGTTTGTATATCATTTTTTACAATACAGATGATTTGTTGCTATACTCAGTTGTACTCACAATTATTTTTGCTAATATACTCTCATCCTCAAATTCCATTGTAACTACAGCCTTGTCAGTTTGAATATCTGCGATAGCATCACCAGGTTCAATCTTATCACCTTCCTTTTTAAACCATTTCACTATAGTGCCAGTTTCCATAGTAGGTGACAAAGAAGGCATCAACATTTCTTTCCCCTTCACTGAAATGACAAATGTCCATATGTCAAAGTCAGTGAGGATCTAAGAACACCCATTGTTGACAGTAAAAATTGAGAAATTGATTGCATAATCAAAAAGAATGCATTGTTTGTGTGTGGAATAATAGAATTGATTTATTAAAGACTGCGTAAAATATTAATCTTTTTATACCCTCATTTATGTTTATGTTATATCGAGAACATGACGACTCCAACGATCCAGATTTTTTCAATTCAAATGTCTTTCAAAATAACCTCGAAAAGTCGACTGATATTGTTAAGAAAAGGTCGCTGTTTCTGAATAAATGTCATACCATCGAGGATCCCACTGGTGTGAAAACATAATCGGTGATATTTTAAGGGTACAGAAATACGTGGTGCGATGCGATTTGCGTATTTCAATGACAAGAGCAAAAACTTGGATCTGATCATGTGCGCCATTTTCGACGTCGAGCTACAAGATATCTCGATTCGCGAATGACCTCAAACCGATTGACCTCTTTCGTTCATGTGCACTGATGTGACGTGCATTGTGTGTATTAGATGTCAATTGACTCAAACCTCCTTCAAAAACTTATTATTTAAGTCTTCCGTGTCTAAAACAAATTTTATAAATTTAAAGGAATGCCATACTTAAAAATTTTGTCTGCAAGATGCTGACATTTTTCTGCAAAGTTTGCTTTTTGTTGTTCACGCAGAATTACAAATACTTTTACATAATAAAAGTATCTGCAAAAATAAATTGGAACATTGTTAAATATGTATATTTTTTACCATTTTTGTCACATAATATCTCTAAATTCTGGATATCCACTGTATTAAAAATGAAATCATTAGCAACACGTTGCAACAGTCCTTACAATTGTTTTCGCGTTTTGTAAAATCATGTATTCTAGTAGCCTTATTCTGTAACTCGTTATTGGAGTTAACGACAGTTTTGTTATTGTTGCGCAACTGTTGTATAACATAAAAAAACTGCGCAACGATAACGAAACTGTCGTTAACTCCAATAACGAGTTACAGAATCCTAGGGCATAGGGAATGAATCACGAACTTTCACTTTCTTCTAGCGTGACTTGTAAAAAACGTTGAAAATACATGAAAATATAAATTTTTCAAGAATTTGCATTGAAAAAAAAGATTCATAATCGCCTCCAAGTACTGCAAAATCGCTTATCACGATTTCATATTGAGGAAAGAAATTACATGACTGATAAATCAGATAGAGTTTACGTGAAAGGATTTATGATTAATATCTAATAGATATTAATATTTATATGAGAATACGTAGAATATTTGCTAGATAAAGATTTAAAGATACACAAAAATTTGTAAAATTCGTCGTACAAATTTCAAAGTAAAATCATGTAAATATTTATTGTCGAATTTGATATCCACATTTTTAAACAAACAATAAAGCCGTTTCCTATTTTTGTTAACTCTTTCAAGATTATTGTGTTTATTCTTTAAGACGATAGAACAGTGCAGTTATTTTTATATTACGACAGTATAAAAGTCTGCCTCACCGTTGTACTACTCGATGTAGTGAACGTGCATTGGCTGCGTTCAGCAGGGAAAGCTGCTTTGCAACTGTTGTAAAATTCTTGAATCTGATTGGAGTATGCTTTTAATTTTGGTTGGATCCAAGAGCATGTACCAATCAGATTCACGAATTTTACAACAGTTGCAAAGCAGCTTTTTCTGCTGAACGCGACCATTCAGTCCGTTGTTGAGTCGACAACGTCCTCATTTCAATAGATCTATTCCGTAATCGTAAGGTCGCCATTTTTATGAATACTCGATCGTAAATTGATCTTACAGTATACTTACGTTACTGTTATGTCAATTTTTACACTCATGGAGTGCATTCAATGTAGGTCGAGCAATTCAGGGAGCACTTATGGAGGATTCACACCGCGTCCGATGTCCGACGTCTGATATCCAATAAGAAAACAGTTTTCCAATGGAGAATTGAATTCTCTATTAGAAAGCTGTTCTCCTATTGGATATCGGACGTCGTATATCGGACATCGATCGTGGAATCCTGCATTAGAGCCAACGCACAAGCACATTTGTAACATGTTACGTTACGTTAAATACTAACGATGCAATATCAGTACCATATCTGTACGTAAAATTAAACTTAAGTCAATGCACAAAAAAATCCGTAGACTTAACATGACACGGATATCTTGTGCGGAGACTTACTAGGTTTGTCGCGTCGCATGCCCCAATGTGCTCCTACTCGCTCCAATGCACTCTGATTGGTCCGAGAGGTGACGTGAACCAATCAGAGTGCGTTGGAGCGAGTAGGAGCACGTTGGGGCATTCAACGCGAACAAACTTGGTGAGTCTCGACCTACATTGATGCACTCCATAAGTTGGCAATACTGACCATAACAGTTCTCGACGCGGCAGAAATATTTCACGAATCGTCCGAATCGTTCTCGCAATTTCAGCTCGCCGAAGACGAGTTTTGTGCCCAAATTATCGCCGAAAACACCAAAAGTGTCTCGCGTTTATCGTGATGAGGCATCGTCAAATAAGCGCCCAAAATTGAAAAGTCACAGGACGCGTGTTGCACCGTTACTACTTAAGTAAGTGTTTAGTTACATCACGAGAACAATTTCTTTTATCATGAGATCTTTGAACTCTCGCACATTGCTGCCGATCAAATTACTGATTTAATGCAAATATTCACCCGAATTTAACAACACTTAATGGGAATTAATGTTGTCAAATTTCAGTCCGCTGACCTTCAAACTTCCGTATTACGAGGGAGGCGAAAGAACGTGACGCTGTTGCTACTCATCGTACGATTTTTATTTCATCATTATAACAATAACAGTTCTCTCGTTCTCGTGATAATTCGCGTAGTGTCCTGACTTACGAGTAGTATCGACACCCCGCGCCTCAGTTCGTGCGAACCGTTTGAGATCAGCGATGTAACGATATCGATCGATCGATCGATCGCTCGCTTGCTCGCTTGCTCGCTCGCGCTGCGATTCTCGACGTCGATACGCGGCGCGGACTTCAATTACGACGCGATCGCGGCAAGACAGTCTCTCGTTTCTTCGACTTCGCGTCAATCGTTTCGCCGCGTGCACGATTATATATACAATAACGTGCGGACTTACTAACGCGTGTGCCGCGCCGATCTTGCTATGTGTGCTTATCGCGGACTCTCGTCGTTATAAAAACTTATTGCTAAAAGAACTCGCGGGAGGGTTTGGGGAGGGGGAAGTGTGATTTGTCGCGAGTATCGTGCCGATAAACTCGCCGCGGGAGACGTGACAAATGGAGTCGGATATCTATGAAAGAAGAAAGAAAGGGCCCTTAGAGAGCACCGGTCCATCATCGTCTCAGCATCATCGTTATCATCATTCCTCCAGCACCAGGATGGAATCTCACGGACGCTCACGGGGGTGAGTCTACAGTTTCTTCTAGGAAATAATGATTTTTTCATTGTTCGGTGTCGTAGGTGGTTTTATCAAACTAGCACAAAGTGTCTTGAGACCACACTTTGAGTGTATTCAAGATTTTGAGTGTTCTAAGACACTTCCTTCTAAAAACATCTCAGACACGCTCATAATGATTTCCAGGACGCCTTGTGCTATCTGAGAATGAGAGGATTGCCTTTGCTTCTAATTTATTATTATTTTATTGTTATTATTAACTGTTCGGTGGCAATTTTGTCACTCTCTGCCGACAATAACTTGGAGGAGGATTTCCTTTTGTTTCTGACGAATAAAATGAAGCGAAAGTGTACTTAAATGAACGCATATAACGCCTGTATCTGTACAAATTTATTGTGAAGGGAACTTTTTAAAAGTACAATGAATTTTTAAGTTCTTCTCTCAATGTGCATTCAGACGAATAAACCGATCGAATGTTTCATACCACCGAAGGGTTAATAATTTCAAATTAATCTCTACGAATAACTGAGACGTTACGCTGTGAAAGCGAGCGCACAAGCGGAAACCACATTGAAAACAGTTCTGGGAAACAGAATATAAGAAACATTGATGCTAGAAAGGGGTAGTGATCGACGAAATAACACCTCGACATAGGCCCGGTTTGATTGAACTAACTTACTAATGGGAGCTCAGGCCGATCGATCTGACTTGACCTAGTCGTAACTTCGTTGACGGAAGTTCGTGAATTAAATCGCCGATAAAATTTTGTTAGATCAAAGCTGGCCACAATTTACGCTCGCGTGGGATAAATCCCTCCTGTTATCGTTTTTGAAAAACGATATTTATTCTGTCGATTACGCGATCGGGATGAAAAGAAAGAAACTCGATCGGACTGAGCGGATGAGACGAGATTCCGGGGTTGTATGAGCGCGTACAACCAGGACTCCTTTTTACATTAAACGGCTCGTTGTACCGCGTTCGCGGCATCCTCGTTCTCTCGTTGATCTCAACCGCGGCGATCCTTTAAATAGACGATCGCTCTCGTCGCCCTGCTCGCCGCGATTCGCGGGATATTTGGCACACCTCCGTCATGACTCTGTTACAACTCTGCTCTAAACATTAAGATGCCATGCTATAAAATGGCCCGTGAAAAACCGTATATAACGCTAACAGTAACGGGCGCTTCACAAGCGTATGTATCATGCATTCCTTACAAGCTAGTTCGCACACGGTGATCCTCGTGGCTGTGGCGGATCCTTCGGATCCGCTCGACGCGCGTTGCCTTCCCCTCAAGTTCGGCGAGTAAAACGTATGAGGCTCGATCTTTTTTCCGCGTGTTCGACATCTTAAGAGTGCGGAGGAGGTGTCCCGTGTGCTTTTTATATCTCTCGCGCGTAACTTCTTCTCTCCTCCAACTTGCGTATAACGCGCGCGCGTTTGCGTGTGTGTGTGTGTGTATGTATATCGATCGGATATAAGTTACTTCGTCGTCGTTAAAATGACACGAGCTCGTCCGCGCCGTTAAATCTACAGGTTACTACTTCGCTCAGACTTTGGTGACGGTACGCGATCTCGTCGCTTACGTCATAGAAAAGTTTTCGCTTCGCGAAAATGATTGTACGTAAGACGAGGCTGCGCGCGAAGGCGTCCAAATCAGATCCTCAGTCAAGAGAGAAAGAGAGAGAGAGAGAGAGAGAGAGAGAGAGAGAGAGAGAGAGAGAGAGAGAGAGAGA